TGTAATGATTTCTTCGAAACAAACAGTGAAACATGAACCAGAGGACATAAGTGGAAGTTTTGAAAATGCATTAAAACCAAAGAACAGGAGGTGCTTCTTTTCACAAAGGGTGGTGGGAGTGTGGATGAAATTCTTGGATCAATGATCTACCGACTGGGCTTGACGTGCCGAAAGGCCCTCCTCTTGTTTGTAACCTTATGTTAATATACCGCAGTGTCCAGTCAGTCCAAGTGTCTGTGTTGACCTCTCCTTCTCTCCCTGCAGACTGTGAATGTGCTGTGTGTCTTCAGCTTTGCTAGTAATTTAGTGTTCCAGACGGGCAAAAAGTGCATTCTGGAGAGACAACTGCTCCAACAGAGTGAGTCAGTGCTACTGTACTTCTCAGTTCTTACTCACTGGTCATCCTACCAGCAACCCACTGCAACAGCTGTCCCCCTATCTGCACACTCTTTACCAGTCCTCTATAGAGATGTGCTGAGACACCCACACACTGACACAGACACGCACTGGGAGAATCACACACACATAGTGACATACATGCAGAAACTCACACACTGAAACAAATACGGAGCATAACACACACACACACTGAAATCACACAAGAAATACACACATTGAGACAGATATCGACTGAGATTGACACACACACTCAGACAAACATCAACTGAGACTGACACACAATGAGAGACTCACACACACTGAGACAGATACCCAACAAGACAATGACACACACTGAGACAATCCCACACACTGAGACAAATACCCACCAAGACAATCACACACACTGAGACAATCACACACACTGAGATAGATACCCAACAAGACAATGACACACACTGAGACAAAGACACACACTGAGACAATGACACACACTGAGACAGATACCCACCAAGACAATGACACACACTGGGACAATTCCACACACTGAGACAAATACCCACAAGACAATCACACACACTGAGACAATGACACACATTGAGACAATGACACACACTGAGACAGATACCCACCAAGACAATCACACACACTGAGACAATCACACGCACTGAGACAATCACACACACTGAGACAATGACACACACTGAGACAATCCCACACACTGAGACAGATACCCACCAAGACAATGACACACACTGGGACAATTCCACACACTGAGACAGATACCCACTGAGACAATGACACACACTGAGACAGATACCCACTGAGACAATCCCACACACTGAGACAAT